ATTCCCGAGATAAACGGTCTTCTTTCCTTTTTCAAGTTGATGGTAACAAGTGTATTTTTCACATATAGGACACGCATTATGCCCTTTAACTTTATACCCAGACAAATTATCATATGCCGGAAAATCGTTGATGGTGCAAAACAACATGGCACGCATATTGAATTGTTCGCCAGAATACGCATCAAAAACATCCACCCCTTCCTCCCACAACACTCTTAAATCATCAATCAGTGGACTTAGATAAACGTCTATGTCATTTTCTGGTTGTTTTGGGCCTGATATCATCATCGATAACATAATATATTTACGCTTCATGCACAACCTAGGAGATAGGTTGTAAATCATTAAGAGAACATGCCAAGAACTATGGTTAGTACTCAGATTACCAAACGGATTCATTCCATCAGTAGCAAGTCCAAGTCTAAGGTTTCTCGACTCTTTGCCAAAATTTGAAAACAAAGAATCTATTTTCTTCCATTGCAAAGAATCAGCTACATGAAGAATTTGTCCATCATATTTTCTTTCTTCTGCATGCCATCTAAGATTCTTTGCGTCATCTGCATTGGCGAATAATCTCTTGAACCTTGAAATTATTGGTAGGTACCATACCACTTTCGCAGGAGGACCCTTTTTGACCACCTCATCATCAATTGACTCACCATCTTTCTTTTTGTAGCGTGAAGCCTTGCACTTCGGACAATGATTATACTTTTCATACTCTTTTCTGTATAATATGAAATCATTAGGGCGTGCATGTATCTTTTCATACTCCAAACCCATCTGACACAATATTTTCTTCACCTCGTAATAACGACTTGGAATTACATTATCTTCTGGAAGCATTTCGGTCAACAATTCAAGCAACTCGGTAAAACTTTTGTCAGTCCACCCATTCTTTGCCTTCAGATTAAATAATTTTAACACAGCTGACAGACGTGTAAATTTTTTGCATCCCGGGTACAATGGTTTATCCTTGTCATTGCATATAGTATCATACGTATGTGCCCTCTTAAACGAATCTTGTCCAATATCACGCATCATGTCTTCTAGACGATCATCCATTTCTACACTAACATCATCTCTTTGAGACACGTTTGACTTTGCTACTACTTCACCATGCCATATCCATTTTGTATAACTTTGACAAATCCCTACACAAATTAGATGATCCATGATTTCTTTCTTACTACGTTTTGGTTCTTTATTTGCACAACGAACACATGGACAGAGAAAAAGCGTAGGAAGACTTTTTTCAGCATTACTTTCAGCAAACTGTAGAAATTCCATCACTCAATGTTCGTACTCGTCACTTAATCGATTAGATCTCATCCAACTACGATCCATAACTATGTTTACACGGAGGAAGGTCTGACGAACGGTGTGCCCGCGGCTGCGCTACTTCACAGAGATTCTGAGATTGCAAGTTGCGCTACTTCATGGAGAAAGAAAAATAGAATCAAATTTCAATGGCAAGGTGATAACTCTATTAAGTTTGATAGGGTAAAGTAAAACAGTGTGTTTCTGATAGGACCTTAAGGCTCCAATGTGATAAGATTTCAAGATTTAGTTGCTAATTTGCTATGGTTGGTTGTTGGTTGGTGTTATTGACACTATATTAATTGCATTTTTAAGAGACATAAAAAAGAACGTGACAATAATGGTGGCTAGCTAGTAGCCACAAATTCTTCAAGCCGTTCCTTATCTATCTCTATCTATACAGTATTATATCTACATTATCAACAAAAAATATATATATAAAACCAATTGCGGAAACCTTTTCTGAGATATCTATTCTAACACCTGATGTCAATGAATCATGTATTATATATATTGTTATAGATTATAAATTGTTTTTATAAATAATTTTGAAGAATTTCAAAAAATATTATAAATTGTTTTGATAAAATCAATTTAAATATCACGTGACAAAACTTATCTCGTTAAAAATATTATAAGTTAAAATGAATTCAAACAGAAAATTTGTACATAATGTACTGTAGCATTATCTCCTCTAGCATGTTAACCATCCCTTAGAACAAGATATCTCTATTCTCTAGGTATGTTTTCCAATATTTCCGATTATGGTTTCACAATGCATAACACCTTATATTCTCTTAAAGATATTGTTGCTTTTTTAACTCAACTCTCATGAATCTATCATATCTTGTAATAAAACCTTCTGTTATTCTTAAAAAACTTAGAAATTTGGATAAATAAAGTTTCTCAAAGAAAATTTTACAAGTTAAAGCGTTTGAAATGAATTTCTACCTAGTGTTAACATAAGGTATTGACTTAAATCAAGAGAACAAAAATTGAATCAATAACACCACCAACACTTTGTTTCACACTCACTATGGCTTTCACATTATGAGTTTTACTTGTTGCCATCAAAATGATAAACATCAATCTTGTACTCCTCCTTAAACTTAGCAGCAAAATGATGGAACAAAGCCTCATCAAAATCCGTAACCTAACCTAACCCATAACTAACTAGAAAACCTAACCTATATTTTGAATAAGTCACATTATAGATCAAATAAGTGAAGAATGTGACTTACAGTTGAAACGGCGAGCGAGGAAGGGCGTGAATCGGCCGGCGAAATGTCGTGAACGGCGTACAGTGAGGCGACGAGGATGCGTGAACAGGGGCGGCGAGGAGACATGGAGATGTGAAACGGCGTGAAGTTGTACAGTGAGGCGACGAGGATGCGTGAATAGGGGCGGCGAGGAGACATGGAGATGTGAAACAGCGTGAAGTTGTACAGTGAGGCGACGAGGATGCGTGAACAGTGGCAGCGTCTGCGTCTGCGCCTGCGTATTGTACAGTGGAAATAATGTACAATTAGGAGCCAAACTGAATAATATATGGAACCTATTACATCGGTGGAATCAATGGACCGATGTAAGGGTTTGAGCCTGTGAACCTTTTACATCAGTGGAAAAAGGCCCGATGCAAGCGTGTGAACCTTTTACATCAGTGGAAACAATAACCGATACAAGCGTGTTACTATGATGTTTTTTTACATCGGTTGGTTTGTGGACCGATGCAAGCGTGTTTTAATTGGTTTTTTACATCGGTTTATAATACTACCCGATGTAATTGTTTTAATATATTTTATATATTCACAATCTGCGTGTGAACCTATTACATCGGTTTTTAGTTAAACCGATGTAATATCTTGCTTGTTTTTTTTTTACATTTCCGCCACCTTGTTTCTTATTTATAAAAATGCCACCGTATTTTTTTCTGAAAACCTTTTACATCGGTGGATGAGATTGCCCGATGTAATAGGTAGTGGAAAATATTTTTTTCCTTATTTTTTATATCATTGCAAATAAATACCTGATGTAAAATGTTTTTAATTGTATTTTTTACATCATATATTTTGATACCCGATGTAAAAGCCTTTTCTCAAATGTCTTTTTTTTAGTAGTGTAATAAGATGTTTTATAAAAAAGGTTCTAAAATATAAGTGATAAATCTAATAAAAATGAAAAAAAAAACTATTAATCTATTAAAAAATGAAAAACTAAATAAATAAAAAAGTAGGCGGACAAGACCGCCGCCCGCCAACCCGTTACCTTGGCGGGTAAGCTAGATTTTTGTGCCCATTTCAACTTGGCAGACTTGCTCGCCCCGCTCTTTTTTTGGCGGGCTTAAGGTGTGGTAGGGTGGGGCGAGATGGGCGACCCGTTTTGCCATCCCTAATCATCACGCCTTTACGATAACACGTGGCTCTATGCAAGCGTGGCACGCCAACTCCCCACATTCCAAATAGTTGTTCCTCTCCCCGCGAGACGAACACCCCGAGCAATTTTCAGACTCCTAGTACAAAATTGCCCTTAAAAACGCGATAACTCTTCAGAGCCGCCTAACTATTCCTCTCCCCGCGAGGAGAACACCCCGAGCATCACTTGTACTTCTCGTACGAGATCGACCAAGGAGCACCCCCGTTTCACGAGCACATCTTAAAGTCATCACTCATCTGTCCAGAAGCAACGACTTAGGGGCTCCTGTTTTGGACTGGCCCAATGACTAAAATTGGTCCAATCTGCTTCCATCTTTGGTACGACCAAATAATGTTGGCCCAACGTCCCTGGCCGATCACGCCCTCGAACAACGCGACCAACAATTCTCGAAACGTGTGCTTGCCCGTGCTGGCAGCTACCTCCCAGTCTGCTCGACACACGAAGAGCAGACGCCCAAGAAACGCTCATAAACGCTTCTTCCCGTTATCTCATCCTTGCTCGACGCAACGACTAGTTACGGACACAAATGCTTGTTTTGACCAAGTCCTGACAATTATCTATTTTTACGGACCCATATATCTAGACTCAAAAATAGGGACCAATGACTACGTGATGGGAAAACTATATAAACCCTCACACTTCTGAGGACCAAGTATCAAATATTCAAACCTTAAACCCTAATATATTGCTTATATCTCTTTACATCCATTCTTACGTGATCGTCGGATTGCCTTGCTGGTACAATCTTATTTATCTTTACAAACAATAAATTTTAATTGAATTAATTTTTTTAATTCTATAACTTTTTAGTAATATTCTTAATCTTAATCACTTTTTCCTTTTAAATTACAATAAAATAATCTCATTTCATTTTTTAATATTTAATATTCTTTAAATTTTAATAATCTAAATTCTATGGTCAAAGATGTTGAATGAATAATTATCTTCTTTACCAATAAAAAAGTAGAATGATTCATTGTTTTTCAATTAAATTAAAATTTATATTACACTTTAAAAGGTATAGAAAAAACACTTTTTGAACATAGAAAATAAAAAAACTGAAATATTTTGTAGTCTATCATAGGAAGAGAATCTGATAAAATAAAGAAAGATGTCATATTTTTAAATAAATAATTATTCTAGATAGTTAGATTAGACCAAAATCAATGAACAAGATTTTGAGTTATTCTTTAAATAAAAATATCTCAGCTCTTATATATGTTCTTCCATCCTCTCTTTCCCCGTCACTCATGGAGCTTCTGAGGATCTCATATCTCAAGCTTCAACTTCAAACAGTAGAGCTTAGTTTTCATCTTCTTCGTGCTCACTTCAGTGTCGATTTGCTTCTTAACAGAGTGTCAATCATGAAAACGGTATAGTTTCTTTGAATTCATTTTCAAATGAACAAAATCATTAAACTGAACTTATTTATTGTAATTTTATGGTTGAAGTTGCATGCAATTTTTCAGTAATTTATTATTTGGATTTCTCTATTTAGGTTTTACACAAATTGAATTTAGGTTGCTGGATTTATTTAATAAAAATATCTAATGTTAGATTGAGTAATTGTAGTTGTAGTTATTATTATATGATATTAATGATATCTGATAATAATATATTTCAGGCTTCATCTTTGATTGCTGTAATGTTTATGATGCCACATTCCTTGTGTTTTTCTCTATTCAACAGGTTCTTTGTAACAGTGATGAGCTTGGAAATTCTCTGGAGCATAACATAGTTCATGGTAGATGCTTACTCTGTACTCATACAAATGTTTGCTGATTCAACGAATTCTCATAATCATAATTGTTTTTGGATACATGGTACCGACATTCTTTTCAACCTACATAAACATATAATTCTATTTAACCATATAATCCTTTGAACTTATTGATTTCAAACAAAATCTAACAAGGAATGAACCATATAATAAAGAGAAACCAAGATATGTACCATTTGAATTGATGAACCCATGTAGAACAATAGAAGCACAATTTATTATTGTTATTTAATAGGGTTAAAATAAAATTTATCTACGATTTCAATGTGCAAGATATTTTTCTTGCAACTAGAGTTAATTTGATCTAAAAATTGGATGCATGCAATTTGACATTGGTTCGACAAACGTTATCTCGAAATACAAAGGAAACTTTTATCTCTCTTCAGATCATGTATCTCTCTAGTATGTATTCTTTTAATGATTTTGACATATTTGCAAGTGTTGGGAAAAGTCAATATAATTATTGTTTGTTTTCATTATTCAAGTTCTTCTGTGTGAAAGATTCCAGGTTTATATCCTTGGAATTCTTATAAATCACAAAACAAATAAGGAAATCATTTTAAGAAAATGTTGTTTGGAAGATGATCTTGAGATTGTTTATCTTTGATTGTCATCTATTGGTATAAAGCAAACACCCGTAGTTGATTGGTTATCTATTAATTTCGTTTCTCCATCTATATTCGAGTGTATGCATCCTAAAGCCAATATACCTATCGAAAAAGGGTTTAGTTTGCAGTTGCATATTGTTAAATGCTTTGATTTATACTTCACATGATGACTGTACTTACATCACCACTGATATAATGGAATTGAACGGAAACTCTACTATAGAAATAAGGGATGATGAAGTTACTAGTACAAGAACTACTAGGCAGAACAAAAGTAAACAATTTTGTATAGATGTTTATTCTCTTGTGTGCCTTATATATATTCGAATTTTTGGCATGACATTCAATTGCGTTTTGAACATCAACGCATACTTAAGACTAGACACGTTTTTTCAGTAAATAATTATTGTCATGGACGCTTAAATCGTGAAAATAATTTTTTACTGAAAAAATGTGTCTAGCCTTAAGTGGGCGTTGATGTTCAAAACACAATTGAATTTCATGCCTGCAACTCGAAAAGAAAAAAAAATATATAAAGCACCCAAGTAGATAGATTAAGAGAATAAATATCTGTAAAAAATCATTTACTTTTGTTCTGTCTAAAGTACTTCTTGTATGTAGTAGCTTCGTCATCCCTTCTAGAAATGAGTTTTCGTTCAATTCCATTATATCAGTGGTGATGTAAGTACGATCATTATGCGGAGTACAAATCAAAGCATTTCGCAATATATAATTGCTAACTAAATCCTTTTCGGTATGTATATTGGATTTATGATGCATACACTCGAGTATAAATGGATAAACAGAATTAATATTTAATCAATCAACAACTTGGTGTTTCCTCTATAGCAATAGATGACAACAAAAGATAATCAATCTTAAGATCATCTTCCAAACAACATTCTATTAAAATGGTTTCCTTATCCGTTTTATAATTCATAAAAAGTTCAAGGACATTAACTTGAAATCTTTTACATATATGAACATCAATAATGAAAACAAATAATAATTGTAGACTTTTCCCTACACTTGCAAATATGTCAACTACAATTAAGAGAATATTAGAGATATATATGTTCTGGCAAGAGATTAAGGTTTCTTTTGTATTTCAAGGTAACAAACAAATTACTTTTGTCCAAACCCATGTCAAATTGCATGCATCTAATTTCTGGATCAAATTCGACTCTAGTTGTAAGAACAATGTCTTGCACAACATTATCGTAGGTAAATTTTGTTTTTAACTCTATTAAATAACAATAGTAGATTGTGTTACTATTGTTCGAGACACGGTTCACCAATTCAAATAGTACATAATTTGGGTTCTCTTCGTCATATAGTTAATTTACTGCCAGATTTTTTTTCTAACGTCGATATAGTTCGAAGAATTATATGATTAAATAAGATTATATGTTTACATATGTGAATTAAGAAAGACAATAATAAAAGAAAAATGAATAGAAAGTAGGAGAAGTTTCCAAATTTCTCCACTTCTGCTTCTTCGACAACAATAGAAGGAACAAGATTATCTGTCAAGGTTCCAATATGATGAAGTTGTTTGCGTGCTTCAAGACATGCAATATCCTTTAAGTACTTTGTATCACCTTAAAGAATATTTCAGTTAGAGCTAACCATATAGGGTAAGTGAAGTTGACACCTTGTTTAGTCCTGACTAGTAGTGTGATTGCTCCTAAAGTATCTGCGGCATCAGTTCTTTCCATATTCACAATTATTAATCAATCAACAAGTGCAAACACAGCGAAAAGACATTGAGCATTCCCCTTGAGAATGTGACCTACTGGAAACTGCTTCAGTAATTCATGAACTGCAAGTGAATCATTTTGTTTACCTTCTGAGGCTCCTTCTGCCCAAACTCGTGTTAAAGCTGAAACAATGCCTTCAGCAAGAGCTTCAGTGGCGGCAATAAAAGGATCAAAAAGAAGATTGGCTAATGCAGCAACATATGTAACAATTCAACTTTTAGAATTAATTATTTAAATGAGTTATTAAAAATATTTGTGGATTATTGATGAATATGTGATGTTTTGTTGAGTATGATATATTCTATGTAATTATGTTGTGGATTATTGGGAGATTGATGAATATAGAGTATTTTGATAATTAGATAATTATCTAGTAATAATTTAGAATAATTATTAGAATTATTATTATTTAAATAAAAATGAATAATTGATGTAGAGAAGCTAGGGGTAAGATAGTAATTGGGGAAAGACTAAGTGAGGACAAGTTGGGTAAATATTAGGGGTCTTAAGATTAAACAAATAATAGAAGAAGATTATTTCATTAGTACGATTGTGAAAATATTGGAAGGACTGATGCTGTGAAGAGAAAGTTAGGGCACGAAGAACAGGGAAGGATTTCGTTAGAAGGCTAAGGAGGATTGCAATTGGCTGGAAATCTAAGGTAAGGGGGGTGATCTGTCATTATATTTGATATGAGACATAGATGTATGTAGGTGTTTTGGGATTTTTAGGATGGATTGATAACATGATGAATATGATGAAGTTGGTGATATTTCAATGTTATAATGCTAAGTAATGATGTATGTGATGCTTGCAATGTTGTATTATTTTGATGTTGTGAAACCATGATGATTTAGAAGAGTTTTGGGTCTGTTTTGGTGTGAAATCGCAAAGGAATTGAGACTGGTTTGTGCAGGAAATTGCAACAGGAAAACCTTGTTCGTGCAGGATCGTCGGACGATGAAAAAGCGTCGTCGGGCGATGATGACTCATTTGGCTGTCGCTGGGCGAGCCAATGGGCGATGTAGGACAGAAAGGGAGGAAGTTACTAGAGTGCGTCGCTGGGCGACACTAGACACGAAGGGTGTGTCGCCGGGCGATGGAAGTTGCTTCGCCAGACAAAGGTGTCCAAATTTGGATGGTTGTGTCAGATTTTCTTGAAAGCGCCATAACTCGAGTTTTAAAATTCGGTTTGGAGTGTCGTTTAAAGTGTTGGGTAGCTAAAGCGATGGACTATGGTTGGATGGAATAAAACGAGGAATAAGAAGTAATTTTCCAAATACCTAGATTTAGATAGGCTTAGATCTTTAAGGAGTAGTCTATAACAATATATGTTGCTATGATGAATTATTTATACTATAATGCAATAAATGCTATGATGAATTGCGAATACTATGATGATAAAATATTGTATTTATGAAGTATTAAAATGATGTTTATGATTTCATGAATGGTGATGCGTTTGACTAGTCGTGGTCGTTTTATATTTGTTGTTGCATATCATGCATTCATGACATACTTTGGACAACTTTGGTTCGCTCATGTTGAATTAGGACATTGGTTCAATGTTGATCTCAATCCCATTGTGTGGATTGTGGGTGTTGATGTTGTGCTCCGGTTCCAAGAGGGAATCGATCCTATGGTGGAGATCTTTGGAGGGTGATGACCCAGTGCCCATCGAAAGAAATAGTACCACATGCATGAGTTTATGCTATTGCACTACATCTTATGGAACATTGCATAATTGTTGATTTGATGATGTTGTATTATGTTGTTGTGCTAATTGACAATGTTGTTGTCTTGTTCTACTATGTCTATTTCTTATATCTCTCATAATGAATGTGATTACTTACCCTTTTTGTTTGAATGTTTCCTCCACGTGGGTAACGCGCAAGTGATCAAGAGTAGTTCATAGAGGCCTAGAAGAATAGCTTGGAGTGTGTTGTTTATTTCTGCTGAACTTTAGAAAGTCTTGCTCTGATATGTAACATCGGGGTCGAGAACGTTTTATTTTTGAACCTTATGTGTTTTGTTTGATTATGAGGTTTTGAACTACCTTTCATGGTATTTGACTTGTTATGAATTAAGAATTATGAACTAAGAATAATGAAGTTCTAATGGTGCGCTTAATAAGAGGTTCCAAATGATTAATTCCGTTGTGAGTAGTTGAAATATTGATAGTTATTTTAATATAACACTTGTCTTAAATAATTTTGAAAATCTGTGTTACGGAGTAAGACATGCATGTATGTTGTTTATGAAGCATGTGACGCCCTTTGGTGAAATACTCTGATTATTTAATTATAATATTCGTTGGGAATTAGAAGGGTGTTACATTAGTGGTATAAGAGCCTGGTCAGTCTGTCCAGCTAAGTTTTATGTGATGTCTATCTCTTGTTGATCGATTAGTACTCGGATACTGTCAATGTGTTGAGGTTTCTAATGTTGGTTGTCTATGTGCAGAGTTAAGGGTGGGGGAATAAATGATAACGCTATTGCTAATGCTTTGGAAAACGTGGCTCAGGCGCTGTAACACTAGCATGGTCAGCAGAACCAGAATGGAGAAAATGATGATGAAGCTCGTGTGTGAGGAAGGTTCCATAGGAACAACCCGCCAATCTACAAGGCCATACATGATGCTGATGGTGCACAAGTGTGGCTTAAGGGGATTGAAAATATTTTTCGGATGGTAATCTGCACAGAGAATCAGAAGGTGCGGTTTAGCACTCACATGCTAGAAGAGGAAGTCGAGGACTGGTGGAACAATACGCGCCAGAGGATAGAGATTTTGGGCACATAAATTACTTGGGTTGTGTTCAGAGCTGCTTTTCTGGATAAGTATTTTTCTAAAGACGTACGTGGTAAGAAGGAAATCGAACCCTTGAGCTAAGGTAAGGAAATTCGACAGTTGCGGAGTATGCAACTAGATTTGAGGAGCTAGTGAAATTTTGTCCGCACTATAACAACCCGGCAGCTGAGGTGTCGAAGTGCATTAAGTTTGAGAATATATTGCTTCCAGAGATCAAGAAGGATATTGGATATCTTCAAATTCATCAATTTCTTGTGCTGGTGAACAAATGTAGAATCTTCGATCAAGATAGCAGAGACAAAGCTTCTTTTTATAAAAATTATAATGAGAAGAAGGGAAAGAATCAGGATCGTGGTAAGCCACACTCTGCTCCTGCTGATAAGGGGAAGCACAACGCTTATGACGAGAAGAATTCAAGTGAGGGAGGAGCTCCCGCTTCTATGAAATGCTACCGGTATGGAGAATTAGGCCACCATGCTGATGCCTGCACTAATAAGGTGCTGAGATGTTACATGTGTGGCAAGGTTGGTCATCGCGTTACTGAATGCAAGAATGAAGGTCCTACTTGTTTTAATTGTGGTGAGCAGGTGTTATACCCTAATTTTTTCCCCTAAGATCCTTTGTCGTCTATAAGCATCACAAATATTTTTTCTTGGCAAAACTCTGTGGCTACCTTGAGCTTCTCTCCTTTAATAATGTAGGTGTTTACCTTTGTTTTTGGTAAACAACCGTTGATCTCCAAAAAGGTAAGTTTTTTTTGGTTTACTTACGGGATCGATCAAACTAATCCCAGGACATATGCTAATTTTAATGTAAAATGAGTAAGAAGGAAGAACGCACGTTCGACCCAGAGAAAGGATGTTTGAGATTGTTGAAAAGTAAGCAAAAGTATAGAAATGCAAGTAAAAGAAGTAAAAAGATAACTTTGCAGGACAATGGTAAAGTAGTGTAAAAAGACTTTCATTAAGGAAAAAAGGTGTTTCCAACGTACATTGCTCAGCTTTATCCTTTCTCACGCAGTAGTTACTTGGATAATATTTGAGTGATTTAGTACAATAGGTTGAACACACTTAAAAATTACACAAGTTTCTTAATTTATACTAAAAGTAGGTAATCGTCGAGGGGACATTCTGCGCTAGGATGAAGACAGGTGTCTTCTGCATGCCTCTCGACCCATAGCTTTTGGCCACGTTGCCTCTTCTCAGACGCTGATGAAAACTGCCTTTCCCTCCAATAATTCAAAATTCAAATAGTCCTCGTTCCATGTGCCAAAGCGTGAACACTTTCTCTCAGTCGAGCAACATAAGTCTGCGTCAGTCGAATGAGCCCTTGGTCGAAGATTCATATCATAATTTAGATATTTTTTTCTTAAGTTATCTCATGTGTCGAATCATACCTCTTGGTTTGGTTCATTCCAGTTGTTTGGTCCAAAAGACCAAATACATTAAGTGTCGAATTTGGGAGCCAACAGTAGGCCCGAGTCTCATCTAAGGTGGATTAGGGTTTTGTGTTCATGCTCGTGAGAACTTCTTTCTCATCTTTACTCAAGATACAAAGTTATCTCGAGATGTGTTCAGAGCAGAGGGATTATAGTTTCCTTATCCATGGGGGTTTGAGTTTGGTAATGAGCAATATTTGAAGATCAAGCAGAATATGGCTTTGTTACAAAGTATTTCTTGGGCATACTTCTGGCCCTGGTTTTGTATTCATCTTCAAGGTTTCCCTTGAGGCATTTGTTCAAAGATCATTGGTCATCCAGCTAAAGTATCTTGTGGGTCGAACTACAAGGATTAGGCCATGTCATCAAAGATGAAGTTGTGAGTTTGTTGAGCCCAAGACATCATCATTTCTTCAAAATCTTATTACTTCAATTGCAAGATATCTGGGATTTTAAAAAGAAATGATAATTGATTTGGATTCATAGAAAATTCTAATTGTACTCAAGATTAGTATTGATTCAAGGTGTTAAATGGTGGATTCAAGTAAGGTTGGAAAGTCTATTCATGGATAATTTCTTGAATTCAAATTCAATTACTACAAGGAATTATTCATTCAAACCTAAAAGTTAGGTATAAATATCATCTCATTATTACTTTCAAACGGGGAAACTATGCGAAGTTATAATCAAGTTGGAAAAACAACGAAACTTGAAAGGTCTAAGAGCAATTTGAAGTAAGTGGTATTTTGAAGAATGTGTCCTTTAAGGCCAAAATTTAAACATTGTCCATTACTCAGTCAAGACCTCATTCAAAATTACACAATTCTATTCATCTTCATGACATGTTTACAATAAAGATTGGTTCCTCAAATATTAATGTCATTCATGTTCAAGGTTACAACACTCCAAAAATAAAAGAAGAAAAAACAAGTTTCATACACGACCAAGAAGTTTCGTAACCTTTCCAAATGACGTTTATGTTGCTTTTCAAGATTACAAAGCAGTACAAGACAATGCCAAAAAGGGAGGAATGGAAAATTACAAATGGAATTACAAGTTCTTGAATTGTCAACCATTGACCAGAATTCGACCTTCAGCTCAAAGTTCCGACAACTTATTCCACTTCAGCTCCAATCAGACCTTTATCATTTCAAATTGCCTCATGTCGTGTTAAATGTCATGTTTCAAAAACATCATTCTCAAATTCTTAAGCTTTATCCCTCATATTTCCATGCTTCATGTTCACTAACTTATCACAAGCATTGCCTTCAGAAAACCTGCATTCAACCAAACAAACAGTTCATGACCCGTTCAAATAAGCCAGCCATGTATTTGTGAGTTAACATCACCAATAGTTTGCACCAGTCGACAATTAATCAGAGGAGTCCCGTGTTGCTCGTGACATTCCAAATCATGCCCTACTGCAGCTTTTTCAAACCATGTGCAGCCCTGCATTAGTGTAGAATCAGTTCAGGAAATTAAAAAAAAAACAGTTTAGAATCAAACTCAAAAGGAAAACCAGTTTAGCAGAAAATAGAAAACCCAAATTTCATTTCAATTCTGACTAGCAACTAAACGAAAAAACAGTCACAACAAAATTTGACAGCTCATCTTAACTACCTTAAAACCATCTTAACTAACTCTCACTTTCCTAACCAACCAAAAGAGCTTCATAACTAACTTTCAACTAACTGCTAACAGAGTTCTCACTGTCAATTATTAACATAACTAACCAAATTTTTCAGCCCTCTAACTTCATAACAGAAATATCCCAGCCATCCATTTCTCTAACTGATTTTAATCCAATGGTCAAGAATGCACAAGTTCTAACAGATTTTTGAGAGCTATATAATAGAAGGGGGAAATTCATTTTTGAGGAGGACAGAAAATCACAAATACTCACCTCTAAATTTCTTTGAGATATTTTTGAAGAATTCTCATCTTCATCTTCAACCTTCTCAACACCCTTCAAGAACATATTTCTTCTCCTCTTTAAATTCCTCTACAATCTCCATCAAACTCTCTTCAACTTCACTTCTCATCGTTGAGTTTATCTGCAGGGACCACACAGAATCAGAAGAGAAGAACAAAATACAGAATTAAGAGCGGAAATTATACACGTATATGAGTCTATTTCTCTGGATTTCTCGTATTTTCCGCCATCGAAGACGCGTTGGGCGAACTCTGATTGGTGAGCCTTGATTTTCTATCTTTCTTTTTAGCATTCACGTTGTTCTGTATGTGTTTGTATAATTGATACAAAGATGAGAAACGAGTTGAATCTGAAACTGAGAAGGATTGATCCGAAGAAGAAGAGCTTGAGGCGCAGACTCAATTGAGGGTGGAATCGAAGACGAGAATGAAGGCGGAGGTATTAAGACGAATACGGAGGAGGAAGAGAATATTGTGACATTGTGAAGATGAAGCGGTGGCCCAAATCTTAACGAGACAAAAGTTGAGATGTGAGATTAGGCAAAGACTAAATGGAGGGGATCAAAGATGTTGTTTATGCATCAAAGATGATGAATCTTCACAGAGATGATGATGGTGTCACGATGATAAATCTAGATAGAAGAGAGAAGTCTCGGGCGAACACTGTATTAGTGATATACATCCAGCTGTACATTTGTGATTGGCTTCTGTTAGGCTTTTGCTATTGGTTGAGTTTGTTATAGATGTAGTTATATATTGGTCCACTTGTAATACTGAATTCATACAACTTATCCTCTACTGTAACTTTTAGAATAAACAATTCTGGAGTTTATTGAAACTGCACAGAGTGCAGATTGATTGAATGCAAAGCATTCTTCATCTTCTACATGGTATCATCGTGATCGATCCATCCACATTCCGCTCATCTCTCTTCTCCTACCGGTATCTCTGCAGTATCTCTGTTCTTTGTTCTTCATTCTCATCTCTACATCATGGCCACTGAAAATCAAGAAATACAGTCTTCATTCACCCCCTTCTCCACTGGCAACAATGGATTTGGACCTCGCCTCTCCATCAAGTTTCAAGAGAACAATTTTCTCCTTTGGAATCAACTGGTTGAAGGAATTATTCTTTCTCACAAACTTCACAAATTCGTTGTGAATCCACAGATTCCCCCAATCTTTGATTCAGAAGAAAATCGCATAGCCAACAAAGTTTCAGCTGTGTATGAATCTTGGATTGTACAAGGTCAAGCATTGTTCTCATGGCTGCTCTCAACGATTTCCGAATCTGTTCTTCCAAGAGTCCTCTCCTGCAAACACTCATATCAAATTTGGGATCAAATCCCCAAACATTTCAATGCAGTCATGAAAGCTAGGGTTCACCAGCTGCGTTCTGAATTGAAAACCACCAAGAAAGGGACTAGGTCAATCTCTGAGTATGTGTTGAGAATTAGAGCTATCGCTGATGCACTGCTAGCTATTGGTGATCCCATTTCAGAGAGAGATCAAATTGATTCCATTTTACAGGGGCTTCTGGAGGAGTACAATCCATTTGTCATGATGACCTATGGCAAAGGTGAGTTATCCTTCATTTATGATGTGGAAGCTTTCCTCTATGTCCAAGAAGCACAACTTGACAAGTATCGTCAAGAACTTGCACTTACCACGGCCACTACCAATCTTGCCTATACTGAAGATCAGACAAGCTCTAAGACCACCAGAGGTGGCTTTCAGCAGTCAAGGGGACGTGGCTCTGGCTCCAGAGGTCGTGGCCGCACCAGGGGACGCAATGGTTACACTCAAGGAAATCTCCCTACATGCCAACTCTGTGGAAAATATGGCCATGCTGTCATCAATTGCTGGCACAGGTATGATGAAAGTTTTGAACCTATGGCGCCTAAAGCTAATCAGCAGCCTACTCAGGCAAAAGATCAACAGAAGAATGAAGCCTCAAATTCTGCACAAGCTTCTGCATTCCTAGCATATCAAGAAGATTTCAGCCTTCCAACAAATCTTGAATCACAGGCTTGGTTCGCGGATTCAGGTGCATCCCATATATCACCTCTATAAACTATCATAGTAAACACACTAAACCTTATTCTGGAAATAATGAAGTCATTATAGGAAATGGTAAAGGTCTGAAAATTGAATCTGTAGGAATAGCTCATATTAAGCCTAACAATACTTCCAATTATTTGCTAAGTCTGAATGATATGCTTCATGTTCCTAGCATAACTAGAAATCTTCTATCTGTTTCCAAATTTACCAAAGACAACAAGGTCTTCTTTGAGTTTCACTCTAACAGCTGTTTTGTCAAATCTCAGGCATCTAAGGAAGTTCTCTTAGAAGGCTACCTTGATGCTGGAGGATTATACTACTTTCCCAATCTCACCTTGAAGACTTCTGTGTCACCAACAGCAAATGCAGCTTGTATCTCACCTGATAAGGTTTCAAATACTTTAGATTCCATTTCAAATAAGTTTTCTCTATGGCATCATAGGCTAGGCCATGCTAACCCTGTAGCTGTTAAAACAGTTCTCAATATATGTAATATTCAGTTGAGCAATAAAGATAATGTTGAATTCTGTAATTCATGTTGTATAGGCAAGTCTCATAGAATATTTGCTCCTCTAACTTCTACTGTATATACTGCTCCTTTTGAATCAATTCACACTGATTTGTGGGGACCATCACCAAACCCCTCTAGCCAAGGTTTTTCTTACTACATAGCATTTGTAGATGTGTACACTAAATATACCTGGGTCTATTTTCTCAAACATAAGTCAGATGCCCTCAACACTTTCAAACACTTTCTTGCCTTTGTCAAAACACAATTTCATACCACTATTAAGGCTCTACAATCTGACTTTGGTGGTGAGTACATGCCCTTTACTAAACTCCTGAATGATCTTGGCATTGTTCATAGATTAACTTGCCCACATACTTCACATCAGAATGGCACAGTTGAAAGGAAACATAGAAACATAGTAGAAATGGGACTGACTTTACTTGCTCATGCTAATCTGCCTATAGAATATTGGGATCATGCCTTTATAACAGTTGTCTATCTGATCAATAGACTTCCCACTCCTACACTTCCTAAAACTGTCTCCCCCTTTCAGACCCTGTTCAACAAAATCCCTGACTACAGCACCCTTAGAATATTTGGTTGCTCCTGTTTTCCCCATTTAAGACCCTACAATCAAAATAAACTCCAGTTAAGAAGCTCTGAATGTGTATATCTAGGAATTTCTCCATATCATAAGGGATACAAATGCCTTAGCAAAGAAGGCAGGATTTATATTTCCAAGGATGTCATTTTCAATGAAAAAGTCTTTCCTTTTCCAACATTCAATGATCAACCTCAGTCTGTCAAAACATGACCCACCAAGTCTATCCCTTTACTTGTACAAAACAATCATTTTTCTGCTCCCTATGATACACCTATAACCAATGGTACCAGGACCACTCAGCTTGTCCTGCCCTTGAATAGCACACCCCAACACTCTCCTCAAAACCAGTCTATAACCATTGAACATAATCATACTTCTTCTCATAATCAAATTTCCTCTTTCACTGAGCAAGAACCCCTGGATAGAAACACTGATCCATCTCAGAGTACCCCTGTTTGTTCTCAACATACACAAGGTACAACAAATATCCAACCTCATCACACTGTTCTAACTAATCAAAATACTGTCCATCAGGAATCTGATCCCTCCCTGACTACTGTTAATCCTGATACTCACTCTTCTCCTACCTTAGTTACTAACAATCACTTTATGGTTACTAGGAGCAAAACAGGGAACCTTAAACCTAAAGTATTCCTTGCACAATGTGAACCAGTCACCTACAAACAAGACTTAACTCAACCAGAATGGTTTAAGGCTATGAAACAGGAGTTTGATGCCCTCCTAGCCAAAAACACTTGGACACTAACTCATTTACCTCCACACAGAAAACCAATAGGCTGTAGGTGGGTGTTTAAATTGAAAGAAAATTCTGATGGAACCATTAACAAACACAAAGCCAGGTTGGTTGCCAAAGGTTTTAACCAACTGTATGGTCTTGATTTTCATGAAACCTTCAGTCCTGTTGTCAAGCCAACAACTATAAAAGTTATTCTAACCCTAGCTATCACTCATAAGTGGGAAATACAACAGATTGACATCAACAATGCCTTCTTAAATGGTGCTCTGCAGGAAGAGATATATATGCAACAGCCACCTGGGTTTGAGAATGAGAACAAAAATCTGGTATGCAAGTTGAATAGAGCCTTATATGGACTCAAGCAGGCACCATATCATGGTATGAGAAACTACACCAGACTCTGTTTCATTTTGGTTTTGTGGCTAGCAAGTGTGATCACTCTTTGTTCATTTACAAGCATCAAGAAATTATTATGTATGCCTTAGTCTATGTGGATGACATCTTAGTAACAGGCTCATCTTCTCATCTTGTTCACAAGTTGATAAATCAACTACATCATAAGTTTGCTCTGAAGAAACTTGGCAAGCCTGAATACTTCTTAGGTTTGGAAGTTCATTATCAAACCAATGGATCCCTAATACTGACTCAAACAAAATACATCAGAGATCTTCTTTCTAGGGTCAATATGCTCACAACTAATGGAGTAGGAGCACCAATGCTTAGCCACTGCAAACCCAGCAAATATGGCACTGACTTCATGGAAGAACCATTACTATACATATCTGTTGTAGGAGCCTTGCAATACATTACCCTAACCAGACCTGACATAGCATACTTTGTAAACAAAGTTTGCCAGTTCATGGCTTCTCCTTTACACAACTGTTGCACCCCAAAATTTTCCCTCTCATGTTTTCCAAAGTCTCCCCACTGCATGGTTGATCACAAACTCTTGCCTAAGGAAAAATAAAATTTTTGAGTGGTACTTTAAGTACCTTTCGATTTACATCCTGAAAGACACTTTGATTGGTGTTCTGAAGGAGCATTTCGATTGGCATTCTGGATGAGCATTTCGATTGGCATCCTAAAAGACACTTCGATTGGCATTCTGGACAAG